CAAAAAAGCCTTTAATCTAAAGATTAGTTTCTACATGTTCTCTAAATAGTTTTGGAAAATCACTTTGTAAAGTGTCTGAGAATGGTTACAGGTTGTTATACTACCTGCCTTAATTTTCAGAGATGCTATACATTATGAATAACTGGAAAGGAAGAGTTTCTGCAGTTTATGGGCACATCTGTTTTCAAAATCTATTTTCCAGAATGATTGTTGACTCCTTAGTATCTGTTCTTTTCCTTTGCTTATTAGATATCCTGCATTAGAATAATGATTCAGCGAAGTAATACAGCTACAGTCTGTCTTTCACTCTTGATCTGGCTGATCCTCCTATCTTTGTCTACCAGGAAATATAATCATTAAAATGAAAGTCCTGGAACATGGATGAAGAATGACACTTTTCCCGGAGATACAGGCTTCATACCAGGGCAACCCACACATTTTGTTACTTGGCTTTCTTTTCCATATCAGGCATGGTGGACACCAATCTTTGCGGCCCTATAACTCATGATGGCTTCCTCCTTCTCTGGGAATAATCCCATACAGAGACAACGTGTTTATAAGACTTAATAGATTCTGCTCCCCTATGGCAAGAGGAGCAGATTTTATAAGATTCTTTATAAGATTAAAGAATCTGTTTATGAGAGTCTGCTCTGCTCCTCTTGCCATAGACACATTGATGGACAACCCAACCCTTTCCCCATATTTTTGTCTAGAAGTAAAGGAAGAGAGGCAGCCTCTCTGCGGGAGTTGGAAACACAGGATGCAGACCCAGGAGCAGCTGCCTACCTGCTATGGTTTCTGCTACACGGAGAAAGCTTATTTGCAGTAGGCAGTATTTAAGGCAACAACATAGAGACAAGCAGAAAAAAAGACACATGAAAGAGAGGCCTAGGGGCTTTGATATCTTGGTTCCAGTGGACCCTGGGTCTCACTACGTCCTTGTCTTTCCCATAATTATGTGAAATATTTCAATAATTCTCCTCTAAAAGACCCACTTGGCCTAAGCTAGTAGGTGGACTTGGGTTTCTATGAGTTTCAACCAAAACAGTTCTGACTAACGCACATTGCTTACATGACAATATCCACCTGCTCAGACATCCCTCCCTACACAGATGTGCCCTGGGTTTGAATCCTTGGCCCCACTATTGAAGAGCTGTGTGACCTTGGGACAGTGAGGTAACCTCTTTAGACTCAATTTACTCATCTCTTTGATGAGGTAATGATAGAATCCATCTCAAAGGATTATTATGGAGTTTCAGTGAGTGAATAAATGAAAATTTGCTTATAATAGTGCCTGAAACACAGTAAGTGGTCAAAAAGTTAGCTATTCTTGTTATCATATATCATTATACCTATATATGTAAAACATATTATAAATATATTGTAAAATATATTGCCACATAATCTAGTAATATGTTTAGAACAATAAATCAAATTTTTTCGTATGCTTTTTATATGCCAGACAGTGCTAATATAATCATGTAATTTAATGCTCACAAAGCCTATGAGGTAAAAAGCATTATTATCCCCACATTACTAAGAATAAAATTACATAATTTTTTCAAAGTCTTACAGTTAGAAATTAGCAGGATCAGTCATTAGAGCTATGCCTTTGACTTCAAAACCTACGCTCTTTTTTTTTTTTTTTTTTCCCTAACCTTTTCTGAGTGTTGCTGGGGTGGGGCGTAATACATGAGTAATTAAAAATGTACAAAACCTAAACTTTCCATCAAATGAATGTTCACGAAGTGCCCTCCATGTAACCACCACTCAGGCCAGATGCCCCTTAAAGTCTTCTTTCAGTCTCTCTCTTGCCCTCTTCTCTGAAAAATCACTCTTACGATGACTTGAACTAAGTCAAATTAGCTAATCGAGAGCTACATTTCCCAGAATTCCATTATGATCCAGTTAAGTTTGGTCACAAGAGAAATCTGCTCAGGATTTAGAAGGCAGGAATAAAACAGTAGCCGTTCAGCTATGAAAGTCACTGCAAGACACCAGGTACAGCTCCAGCCCATGCACATTGACACTGCTGGCTCCCCAGGTTGGCCTGGGACAGCAGCCTGGCCTCAGCTGCTTCAGTTCCCACCAAACCTCCTCCTTCAGCTGCGCCCAGTGCTAGCCCAGGTGTCTGTGCAGCTCCATGGCAAAGGGTGTAGCAACTTCTGCAGGTCACCAGCACCATCAAGGTCAGAGACAGTGAGAGAAAAATACAAGTAACAGATTGTCCTCATGGACTCCTGGTCTTGAGGCCATGCAATAGTAAGTCTGTGAGATTCGTATTGTTGCATGTAGCTATAGTTTGTTTTCTTTTTTTCTCTGCCATTTCATATATTGTATGAATGTAGTACAATTAATTTACCAGTTTTAGTGCTGATTGTTAATCGGGGTGTTTCTAGGGTAGGTTTATTGTGAATAATACTATTCTGAGTATTTTTATACCTATTTATTAGTGCATATAGCAAACATTTCTGTTGAGATGTAACTAAGAACAGCATTGCTGGGCCATAGCGTATTCATATGTTGAACTTTAATAGAAAATACTGAGCCATTTCCTAAAGTCTTTATGCCATTTTCCACTCCCACCAGTAGTACATGCATTGCAAATATGTTATCCAATACTGTAGCTTGCTTTTACTCTCTTTTTAGGGGAGTCTGTAAATGAATAGAGGTTCTTCATATTAAAGTGATCCAATTTATCAATCTTTTCCTCTACAGTTAGTGCTTTTCAATTCTGTTTAATAAATCTTTCTCTACCCCCTAAGACATGAAGAAACAGTCCTATATTATCTTTTGGAAGCTTTATTGTTTTTGCCTTTCACACACAGATTTGTAAGTTACCTGGAATTAATTTTCATGTCCAATATGAGGCAGGAGTTCAGTTTCATTTATTCCAAATGGTCATAAAATTGATCTACCACCACTCACTGAAAAGTTGATCTTTGTCAAAAATTAAGTCATAAATGAATAAATCTGTCTCTATGAATAAATCAGTCTGTGCCTTCTACTCTGCGCCATTTATTTATCTCTCATGGCATTATTACCACACTGTGTAAATTATTCTAGCTTTAGAATGTGTCTTTATAGCCAGTAAAACAAGTTCTACTACCTTATTCATCTTCTTCAAGAGCAACTTAGCTATTCTTGCCCTTTGTTTTTCCATCTAAATATGAAAATCAGCTTATCCATTTACACCAAAAAAATCTGTAAGGAATTTTAACTGAGATTGAATCTATAGACCAATTGAGAGGAATAACTGACATCTTTAAAATTGTGAGTCTTTTGATGCATTCCTTAAATGATCTCAATTATGGTTTATAATTTTCTGTGTAGACATCTTAAACATCATTTGACCAATGAACAAAGTTTGAGGAGAATCAAGGTATTTTTATAGTCTCAAAATATCTCCCATAAGATATCTACCAACAACAAAGGGAAAAAATAGGAAATTTTTCTGACAGGGAAACCTGGCAGACACCACTGTAACTAAGTGATCAAGGTTATCATCATCAGTAATAAGTTGTATCAACATCAGGCACCTCCTGATGTTGCAGTATCACATCTGTAATATATTCTCGCCAAAAATGCAGAACCCCATGGAATCATGAAAAAACATCAGACAAATTAAATTGAAAGACATCCTACAAAATACTTGACCACTAATCATCAAAAGTGTCAAGTTTATAAATGACAAGCAAAAACTGAAGAACTGCCACAGATTGGATGAGACTAAGGAGATGCAAAAACTAAATGCAATGTGGGAATCCTGGATTGGATCCCAGAAATGAAAAGAACCTTAGAGGTCAAACTGGCAAAATTCTAATAATGGTTGTGGCTTAGTTAACAGTATTGTCCAATGTTAATCTACTTGTTTTAAAAAAATTGTACTATGGTCATGCAAGTTGTCAACTTTAGGAAAAGACAAAGAGTATGTGTAAACTTCTACGTCAGTTTTGCAACTTTTCTGTGAGTTTGATATTATTTCAAGATTTTAAAAGAAATAAAGGGAAAATAAAGTTATACTGGTTCATGAAATAATTGGAATCTTCTTTGCTCTTTTTATATTCTTTAGAGAAGTTTACATAAGATCAATAGGATTTCTGCCTTTATGTTTGGTAGAATTCATCAGCAAAACTATCTGGATTAGAGTTCTCTTTGTGGGATAATTTTACATTATGAGTTCTATTTAACTAATAGTTACAAAGAAGAAAATTTTTCTAATTTTCTCATGACTATGTTTTCTTTAGGAACCTATTCATCTATCCATTTTATTTAATTTTCAAATTTGCTGGCATAAAGATTTTTGTAATACCTTATTTTTTGTATTGACTATAGGATCTATAGTGATATCATCATTTTTCATGCCTGATACCAACTATTTTGCCTTCTTTTTCCCATTCATTCCTGCCATGGCTTTACCAATTTTATTAGTCTTTTCAATAAAGAAATTTTAAGTTTTTAGAAGTTCCTTATTTTGTTTGTTTTCTCTTTTACTGATTTATTTACTTTTCTTTATAATTTTATTCTTCCTATTTTTTTATTTTAATTTATGATTATTTTACTAACTTCAAGCAATAGAAAGCCACTGGTTTTTGGCCTTTTTTGCTTTCTAATGTATTTATTTTAGGCTATAAGTTCCCTCTAAGTGAACTTTAGCTGCATCCCTCAATAGTTGATGTTGTTTTCATTATTATTTAGTTTAAAAACGCTTCCTGGGCCGGACAAGGTAGCTCAAGCCTGTAATCCTAGCACTTTAGGAGGCCGAAGCAGGCAGATCACTTGAGGTCAGGAGTTCAAGACCAGCCTGGCCAATATGGTGAAACCCCGTCTCTACTAAAAATACAAAAATTACCCGGGCATGGTGATGTGCGCCTGTAATCCCAGCTACTCAGAAGGCCGAGGCAGGAGAATCACTGGAACCCAGGAGGCAAAGGTTGTAGTGAGCTGAGATAGTGCCATTGTACTCCAGCCTGGGTGACAGAGTGAGACTCGGTCTCAAAAATAAATAAATATACAAATAAACAAATAAAAGTGCTTACTGCCTCAGAAGCCCACATGCTCACCTCTGCGGCACATTCCTTCTCCTCTCCCCTCTTCTGAAATGCTTCCTTCATCATTGGAATCTATAATGTAAAATAATTGTGCTAGATATAGGAAGGACAGGAAAAGGTCTCTGCCCTCAAGAATGTTTTTGAAGAGTAAGATGTATTAACAAGATCCAAAAAATCATCAATACACTTGAAATATGGTGAATGACATGACTGGCACAATTTTTTAAAATCCTGACTACAGTGTTTGGCCAAAATTTCATGCAGAATGTGGATTTTAGCTGAACTCATACTTACAGAAAGGACTTAGGTGGTGGGAGGAAAGGGATAAGGGAAACTAGGATGAGCAGAGACCTAGTGGGTGGAAAGTTCAAAGAGCTGTTTGGGGAAACAATGAGTCAGTGTGGCTTACTGAAGAATTTGTGTGATGAAATGGGAGAACTGAAGTTAAAAAATAGGTCTGTCTTATACATCATAGTGAATATTGGGTAAATGAATTGATTTCATCTTGTAGAGAATGGAGAGCCATTTTAAAATTTAGATTGGCAACTGATACAAACAAATGGCCAGGTACATGGCTCACTCACACCTGTAATCCCAGCACTTTGGGAGACCAAGTCAGGAGAATTGCTTGAGCCTGGAAGTTCGAGACCAGCCTGGGCAACACAGTAAGACCTCATCTCTGCAAAATATACAAAAATTAGCTAGGTGCGGTGGCATGTACTTGTGGTTCCAGATACTCAAGAGGCTGAGGTGGGAGGATCACTTGAGCCCAGGAGGCAGAGACTATAGTGAGCCATGATCGTGCCACTGCATTCCAGTCTGGGCAACAGAGCCAGACCCTATCTCAAAAAAAAAAAAGAAAGAAAGAGAGAGAGAGAGAAAGGGAAAAGAGAGAGAGAGGGAGGGAGGAAGGAAGGATGGGAGGGAGGGAGGGAGGGAAGGAAGGAAGGGAGGGAGGGAGGGAGGGAGGGAAGGAAGGAAGGAAGGGAGGGAGGGAGGGAGGGAGGGGAGGAAGGAAGGGAGGGAGGGAGGGAAGGAGGAAGGGAGGAAGGAAGGAAAGTATTGTAGGAATACCAATCAGGAGGCTCAAGTTAGATAAATTGAAAAGAACAGAAGCTAAAAGCAAGAAACCAAGCACATGTCCTAAGGTCTTTACTGGGGTAATAATAGGAGGAATTAAAAAGACAGTAGGAGAACCTGCGGAGAGGGTTGGTGGGGGCACATCTCATTGACCCTTTCGGATCAATCCCAAAGAAGATTGACTTTAGTGAATAAGGACATAAGTACTTCTCAACCACATCAAAGAAGACGTGCACTTTGAATATCAGGCTAAAAGAGCAGTAGCAGTATAAAGACCTTTAATCTATGTTTAGATGCTTTCCTCACTTATTTTTTTTTTTTTCTTTGAGAAAACCTTTCCTCATATTTTGGCGTGGTGTTCTGCTTTTCAACGTGTATTGTGGGGAATTGTTGCATTTCACTTTGTCGATTACATTGGCCAAGAGATATTGTATTGCATTTCAACCTGATGCCTTCCACATTTGTATAGATCACAAACCCCATAGTTTAGGAATGAGCCAAAAACATGCCACATCTGCAATGATGCTAAAGGTCGTCACCTTGAAATGCATCATACCAAATGGAATCTTATTTCTTGCCAAAAACGTTGTGGGCGTCTGTCACATTTATCTTCCTTCCATCAACAGCAGCAGCAGCAGCAACATCATAATATTTCATATCCAACCTTGGATGACATCAGAGAGACTATTTAGCTCATTTCTATGAGTTTTCACCATACGACCAGAACCTCAAGGCTCCTGTTCTCACATTCCCCGTCTCCTCATCATCACAGATCAAGGTTCACTTTCTTTGTCAACTTTCCCTTTAACCCCACTCACTAACAAAATCACTGACTTAACTCTCACTACAACAAAACTATATATTTACAAATGGCTATTTCTCTTGCATTGGTTGGCTTTTGTCTTTTCCATTAGATTATAAACTGTAAGCTGTGAGTATTCCCAAAAATGTCTCTAACTAACGCATTACCATTCTTTGACGATACGTGATTGTATATGAATTTATCTTGTTCTTCATAACTTTATTCTCTTTCTCCCAAACCCACCCATGCATCACTTTCATGGGCTAATGTAATCGGAACCACTCCTGGCATTTAGGCTAGAAAACACCGACAATGATGAGGAAAGCAAGTATCCTTTAAACATTTATCTTCTCCGTTGTTATGCTATAGTCCCCTGAAGCTGCCTGCAAAAGCCACAATATTCTTGTTGCTGATGGTGTCACTCATGAAAATTCTGGTGTCTGTGCCAAGAAAACTTATTATAAGAAAGAAACGTATTTTCCCAATCCTCCGGTTTCTATGAGGAAGAATTTTCCCCTAAGCACTTCTGGCTTCTCAGCCTACCCCTTACTTTTCAGCAATAGAGTGAATTACCTGAGTTGACGAATCTGGGAGAGGAACTGGACACACACACCTCAGCATCTTCTTATCATCCTCTTCATCTCGGAAGCCAGCCATCTGCAGGGTGAAGTGCTCCTCTGTGCTAGTTTTCCAGGGCAGGCCCCACAGAGAGCAGCCTGCAGAAGTGCAGCACTGCCCGAGGCCAGGTGGGTCAGTCTCAGTCTAAGTATTTTGTATAAGTAAAGATGCCCACTTTCACTGCACATCCAAGATTCTAACAGTCGGCATCTCGGTTTCCATCTGACCTATTGTTCATCTTTGTCATAAAATTACTCAGAAAAGGAGAGTGTTCACTGGGTCCCTTTCCAGCGGCAACAGTGCTACCAGACATTTGGCTGGCATTGGCAGGAGTTAGTAAGCTCCGAAAGCAATGCTGCTCTCTGAATGTGGGCAAGGAGGGCATCCATTTCCTCCCTGAAAGCCGTGCTGCAGTTAATACTCACAGTGGCCACTGTGGTCCCCTACGCTCCTGTCTCTAATAAACCTCCAGGTTCCTCTCATCCTTTTGCCCTGTGACCTGAGGCCACAAACCAATCTCAAGGAACACATAGCATCTCACAGTGATCAAGTGACATCTTCCTTCTTAGGGGTAAAGGCTTGTGTTGCTGTATCCTCTCTGCTGTAGGGACAGCGGGCCCTCTGTTTTCCCAGGTTCCATATCTGCAGATCAAAAATAGTTGGAAAAAAATTACAGATAGAAAGACAATATAGTATAACAACTATTTACATAGCATTTACATGGTGTTAGACATTATAAGTAATCTAGAGATGATTTAAAGGGGTTGGGCATGGTGGCTTATGCCTGTAATCCCAGCACTTTGGGAGGCTGAGGTGGGCAAATCACTTGAGGCCAGGAGTTCAGGACCAGTCTGGTCAACACAGAGAAATCCTGTCTTTACTAAAAATAGAAAAATTAGCTGGGCGTGGTGGTGCATGCCTGTAGTCCCAGCTACTTGGGTGGCTGAGGCACGAGAATCGCTTGAGCCAAAGAGGCGGAGGCTGAAGTGAGCCGAGATTGCGCCACTGTGCTCCAGCCTGGGCAACAGAGTAAGACTCTGTCTCAAAAAAAAAAAAAAAAAAAAGTATATGGGAGGATATGCATAGGTTATATGGAAATACTATGCCATTTTATGTAGGGGGCTTGAGCATTCAGGGATGTTTGTATCCACAGGGGCCCTGGAACTAATCCTCCATGGATACCAAGGGATGACTGTAGCTTCCAGCAGGGAGATCATCACAATGGCATGTTTTTTATGTTTCAGAGGGAAGCATCTTCTAGTCTATGAATGTACACTCTGGAGCTGCTCTGAATATTGGCAATGTTGCTACCACTCTAGAAGTCAGGAACCTAAAGACCCTTTTCTAACACACTGGCCTAGGGTAAGTCAACTGAGAGTGTAGTCAGAGTGTATCTCAACGTGGAGCACTGCAGCCCCAGTGCCTCACGTCTGAGTGACCCAAAGAGCCCAGAACAAGTGGGAAAAGTAGACACAAGTGAAATCTCCTTTAACTAGTTCTTTCCTCCCACCTCCCACACTCACCCACCTCATTTTCAGGCCCTTCTTTCTTCTATGCCCAGACCTGTCTAATGTATGTGAAAATAGAATCTCCCAACTTTTTCTCACTGAGACCAACTGAGCTTATTATATAATTTCGGCTCTTGTTCCAAGAAAACCAAGATCAATCTAAAAAAGCAGTCATCTGAACTTGGCAGACATTCGTGTGGGAAAGTCTTTAAGCAAAAACAAATTTGTTGACGTACTGGGACAAGAAACTTAGAGAACAGATAAAATGTTCCATGAGCCAACTCTGTCCTCGCTTCAGATTCACTCTTTTCTCAGCCAACAGTCCTTGTTCCACTCTATGGAAGACGTCAACTCATCAGTTTGGCATGATTAGGCCAGATGCCCTCGCCAAAGGGCCCAAGGAATACCAAACGGTCATTCCTTAGGCCTTTTGGTTAGGGAGAAAATCACTAAGTTCAGAAACCTCAGGCTGTAGTGCATGAAAAAAACACCTGACCAACAAAAGGAGTGAAGAAAGGTATTAACAACAAACAGTTGCGTTGAGATAGCTTTTGTGCTTCTAGTCTATGTCAATCAATTAATTTCCTCTGGCCACGCTCCCCTTCTCTTCAAGACTATATGGAGAGGGGTTCTTCTGTCTTTATTACAGTTAGTGACAACATGACAAAACATACTGAATTCAGTCTCAAAATAGAAATATAAATATTAGGGTTCCCCAAGGAAGGAAGTTGCTTTTCCTTTCCCAAGCATGAAGTGGAGGAGACAGGGAGAAGATGGTTCTGGGGAATATCAAAACAGCTGCAGCTCCTTAGGCAAAGGGAAATACTAGTTAGGGACAGCCTCACATCAAGGAAAGAGATACTAAGAAACTGGTCTTATAAAGGACCAAAGCAACTGGAAAGAAAGTAAATCACTTTAGACCCAGTGGAAAACACTGGAGGCTCATGGTGACCCACATGGATTGATGTATTATTCAAAAGGTAATAGCTTTCTAGGATTTGTGCCTGTGTCCACCTCTTCTTCCTCTGTGGTTTCTTGGTGAGCAAGGGTTTTAAAATAGCAGGTGAGAGTCAGAAAAGAAGATGCCAGAATGTCAAATAACTCCCAAGTACTGTGCTGAATATTTTTGGTGTTCTGGGTTTTCTTGAGTTGTTTCTTTTCTTTTTTCTTTTTTTTTTCTTTAAGTTCTAGGGTACATGGGCAAAACATGCAGGTTTGTTACATATGTATACATGTGCCATATTGGTGTGCTGCACCCATTAACTCATCATTTACATTAGGTATATCTCCTAATGCTATCCCTCGCCCCTCCCCCATCCCCACAATAGACCCTGGTGTGTGATGTTCCCCTTCCTGTGTCCAAGTGATCTCATTGTTCAATTCCCACCTATGAGTGAGAACATGCAGTGTTTGGTTTTCTGTTCTTGAGATAGTTTGCTGAGAATGATGGCTTCCAGCTGCATCCATGTCCCTACAAAGGACACGAACTCATCCTTTTTTATGGCTGCATAGTATTCCATGGTATATATGTGCCACATTTTCTTAATCTAGTCTGTCACTGATGGACATTTGGGTTGATTCCAAGTCTTTGCTATTGGGAATAGTGCCGCAATAAACATACGTGTGCATGTGTCTTTATAGTAGCATGATTTATAATCCTTTGGGTATATATCCAGTAATGGGATGGCCGGGTCAAATGGTATTTCTAGTTCTAGATCCTTGAGGAATCGCCACACTGTTTTCCACAATGGTTGAACTAGTTTACAGTCCCACCAACAGTGTAAAAGTGTTCCTATTTCTCCACATCCTCCCCAGCACCTGTTGTTTCCTGACTTTTTTCTTTCAGGAGCTATAAGACTGGAACAAATGGACAGCCACTGAGAGGCTCAGCCTTGCTCACTCACTACTTTCTGAGCAAGGCAATTCTCCTCCTTCTCAGAATCTCCTGCCTGATAAAAATCAATGATAAAAATGTATATCCTGTCCAAGCAGAAACTTTTATTTCCCAAGGGCTCAAAGCATTCCCAATCACCAATCCTGTAATCCACAATTCCAATCAGTATTTAGCCAGTAGGCTAAATTTATCTTCTAAATACCAACATCTATGTTCAAATCAAGAATAGATCCAATTAGTAGGTAGAGGAATTAGAATATGCAAGTCAGTGTCCTAGCAGTATAATCCAGAGCCATCACGTCAGTGCTGCTAAAAATGGTATTAGCTAATTAGGTGACCACCATTAATGCAAGTCACGATGCAAGGTAACTGACAGTGTTGTTGCCCTGTTGACCCAAGCCACAGTTTATGGCCACACCACGCTGAACAAGTCTGATCTCCTCTAATGAACCATGCCATTTATCTGAACCTGAACTCAGTGATATTTAATTATATACTTATATACTCATGCCCTATAAAATAGGCAGGACCCAGAAGGCTGATATTGTTTTCTGTTTCTCAGATAATAGTAATACCCTTTGTTTTTTGTGAGTAAACTAGTTGCTCCAAAGAGAAACTCACCCACAATAATTAGTTCCCTGAGATCTTTTCACAAAGTCCAGGACCCAGTGGATCCATCCAGTGGCATTTACAGCCTAGAACTGGTATTTTCCTTACAATGGCATGGTCCAGCTCACTGACAACAACAAATTGCTAACTGTAGAATAATTTCTCTGGAATTTTATAGAATTCAAAGGAAACAACTGCATTCTTTCAGAAATTTACCACAACTGAAACAAGGCCAAGTTTATAAAAATTCCTCAACTGTAATCTACTCCACAAAATCCCAAAGCTGGAAAGAACCTTGAAGTCATCTAGTTCACACATATCCTTCAGAAAAGAAAAGATCAAAAGGACTTGAAATTAAAAAAAAAAAAACAACCCTGGATTCCTGTCCTATTTCAGCCACTAATTCATTTGACCCAGAACACATTATATCATCTCCCTCAAATAGTGTCTTCATATGTATGACGATAGCTTTAAACCAGATTATGTCTAAAGTTCCATCTAACTTGAACATCCATGATTCTACGAAACCAGACTATAGCCGGCCCTTGAATAACATGGGTTTGAACTGTGTGCATCCACTTATAAGCAGATTTTTAAAAATAAATATACTGGAAAAATTTTTGCAGATTTCTGACAATTCCAAAAAACTCACAGAGCGTAGCTTAGAAATATCAAAAAGATTAAGAAAAAAGGTATGTCACAAGTGTACAAAATATATGTAGATACTAGTTTATTTTATCACTTACTACCATAAAATATATATGAATTTATTATAAAATGTTAAAACTTACCAAAACTTAGGTACACAAACATTATACATGGCACCATTCACATAAACACAAAGATGTAGTACTAAATCATAACCGCATAAAACTAACCATGCTACATACTGTACTACTGTAATAATTTCACAGCCACCTCCTGTTGCAGTTGAGATGAGTTCAAGTGTTGCAAGTATCCACTTAAAACCCTATGTAACACTAATCATCTTTGCGTAAACAGTTCATCTCTGCGGTATATTGCGTTACCACAGTAAAAAGTGACCTCTCAAAGTTCTAGGTATCTTTCATTGTATTTAGTGCAACATTGTAAACCACGAATAACACCATGGGATCCATATACAGTGCCACTAGGGATGCTGGAAGTGCTCCCAAGAACCGAGAAACGTCATAACATTACAAGAAAACATTGCACTGCTTGATACATTACTGTAGAATGAGGTCTGCCGCTGCACTTGCCCACCATCTCAGACAGACAATTCATCTTGTAAACAGATGATGTAAACTTACAATTGTGATAACTACAGTACAGTACTGTAACTGTGTCTTATCTTCCTTATGATTTTCTTTTTTTTTTTTTGAGATGGAGTCTCGCTCTGTCACCAGGCTGAAGTGAAGAGGTGCGATCTCAGCTCACTGCAACCTCCGCCTACTGGGTTCAAGCAATTCTGCCTCAGCCTCCCGAGTAGCTGGGACTACAGGCGAGCGCCACCACACCCAGCTAATTTTTGTACTTTTAGTAGAGACGGGGTTTCACCATGTTGGCCAGAATGGTCTCGATCTCTTGACTTCAAGATCCGCCCGCCTCGGCCTCCCAAAGTGCTGGGATTATAGGCATGAGCCACCGCGCCC